CCAATAACAGGTTTCCCTTTAATTAACAAATGGCACTGTAACAATCAAACTTTGTTAGTGCTAAAGTTAACTCTATAAATATACTAAGAAATTCAAGGATGCCATCCGCTTAAACCTATCAATATTATAGATAGTTAAGTAGATACTACACAAAATAAATCAGGTAGAGAAATACATTCTACATGTTTGCGAAAGTAATATATAAGTACCACCTGTTATAGACGTAAGAGAGATAATGACAGAAGTCAAAGACAAAGAAGAAATGTAAAGGTTTTAAAGAAGAAATGTAAAGGTTAAAACAACTTTTGTTTATAGCGTTTAAAATTTGTGAGAGTTTTTGATGATGCAAAATAAGTCAACCTGGCTAAACTTTGCATTGTATGTTCGGGGTAACCTAACCATGACAGTATTCGAACCGTAGTTAGTGCGACGTTGGGGCACATTGAATAGCGATGTGTGACGTGTTCGACGCCTAGGAGCGCAGAATGCTACTTTATGCAACAGATCTGAACAGTCTACTCTGTCCCGAACAATATCAAATAGGAAGCAGACATCTAGTGTATCCCGTCTTTCTTTCAAAGTTAATAGATTATTTTCGTGACGATGATGAGCGATATCTAATTTAGAAAGGGGTTGTGTACACGCGCTTATCTCCAAGGGCAAGTTAGAAAATGCAAGATCAAGTGTTTTGCCAGCGTAGTTTTTTATAATGTGCATTCTGTACGTCCACGCTACCATATTTTGTATGATGCGGTCCATTTCGGTCACACTTGATACAAGGTGAATTAAAATCCCCAATCACTAAAAAGTGACTATCGGTGTTCATACTGTGCAAGTACTCGATTAAATTGATCGTGTAGTGAATATCTAACGGAATTTTTATAGGATGAGGAGGTATATAAATCGCAAACAAATAAAGATCACTACGTGATGAGAGCGTGCACCCAGGTATTTTTTACTAATATTATTTCTGTGGAATGTAAGTCAAAAAGATCTATCTATACAGTTTCTAGTTTCCGGCGCACCAGTATCATTACCGCCCCGCCTGACTTCTTTCCGCTCAGAGCTAGATCTCGATCCAGTCTAAATACATCGTATCGGCCGTCACATAACTCACCATCGTAGATACCGCCGTGAAGCCATGTTTCAGTAATAGTAATAATATCCAGGTCAGTACATAATAAGTTTTGTCTAAATTCGAGACTTTTTGTCCTAAGGCCGCGAATATTCTGATAGTACACGTTTAATCTTGAATTAGCCATTTCTAAAGAATTGCTCCAAAAATAGATTATCAAGCAAGATTAAAATAGAAGTCTCAGCATAATATGACTTGGGGATGTATTTAAACACTGTAATAAGCTTACTAAGTAAGAGCACACACACCCAGATCCTACGTAAAAGTAACATACAATGTAACTTCGACGAGACAGTAAAAATATTTTTAGTTAAGAAGGTATACTTCAAAAAGTATAATACTGTGACGAGATTGTTGACGGTGCGAGCAAGAGTTCTCAGTTGTTTGAGGTTATTATGAATCGAATTGAATAAAGGATTCTCACTAAAAAAGGGTGTGAGTTTCTGTCATTTGTTATAATGGTATTCTATTAATGTTTTGTTTGGTTTATGGTAGTTTAGTTTTTTATCTAAAATATTACTTAGTAATTTGGATACGAGTGAGTAAATTTTCGCGTAATAAATATAAATAGTTGAAGTGTTATTGCAAAAAGTGTTCCCGCAATAATAATAATAATCAACCATAATCGTATCGTTAATCATATTACGTGTATGCGAATAATTTTCATAAATAATATTTTTACAACCGGCTCGCTATACTCGTCCTCAGTCGACGCACAATAATTGCGTGAATGGTTTGTGCATTAGCCATGAGCTCGTAGTTAGTAGATGGCACAGAGTAGTACGGTACATAGAGGTAACAATAAAATGTGGATGAGTCTTTATAATAACATCCTTGAATTCACATATAAATAACTTAAGGTTATTAGTAACAAGAATATAAAAAAAAATTGTTGTTTAAATTTAAAAAACTGCGTATGAAAATTAAAATGACAGCACTAAATATTATTTGAACGCTAATCTTCATACAATCTTCCTTAGATCCTCTTCTGTGGCTATTAGTATTGGGGGTGATGTATCTGCCTTGCGAACAAAAATTCTTCCGTATTTTGTCCAGACGTAGAGGAATTCGCGTTTTTAGCAGTTTCCTTAGTTTTCTTTAAAAGTTGTTTATTTTGCACAGTCAGGTGTTCGTTTATATAAATAGGTCTACAATCGCCTTTTAGAATGATATCAGTTGTGCTAATGCGGCGTTTGCGCGATGGGGATATCAGGTTGTCTTTCAACAATCTTGACCTTAACTTTGCCACTATGACTCTGGGTCTGCCTTGGATTTTTGTTTTTGGTGTTACTCTGTTTGCATGAATAATATCGTTATGCTGCAACGGGACTCCAAATTGGTTCCCCAAGGCTATGATTATATTTGTTAGGTTCTCGCATTTAACCTCAGGGAGACCAACTATTTCTAAATTCAAAAGATGCTCCATATGTTCTTTGTATTTGATATCTTTTCTAAGCTCAGCGTTCTGTTTTTTCAATTCAATAATTTCACGGCGCATTTCCTCAAAATTTTTGTTTGTGCTGGATAGTGTCGGTATACTTTTTTTATAGTGTCATGCTCATCCGATGTAAATTGTGTCAATTTCTTAAGAGATATCATCTCCTTTTCCGGAGTAGCTTGTTTTTTATGTAAATCTTGAATATCTGTGTGTAATCCTCTCGTATACAGTTAATATGTGATTTCACCTCCATGATGGCGTCATTGAGTTTTGATATATCTTGTTTCATGACGGTGTTTATGCTGTCATTGATATGCGATATTTTGTCATCAAAGTCAATTTTTATAGTGTCCAGTTTTGATAATATGGACTCTGTGAATACCCTAAAAGCATCCGATACATCCTCATCGTATTTACGCTTTCGAAGCTTTACTCTCATTGCTTGTAGATCTGGATCACTATCGTAGCGTTTTGTTGGTGAGCGATACATGGCTGTGTAGTTTAAGCTTGCTACTACTCTGCGCAAGTGGGCACGATAACACGGTATGCGTAAGTAGAATGCGTAATGCAGTGGCACTGGTGTACGAATAAGACAACTCACTTGTTATGAGGCGGAATCCGGCAGCAAGTCTTGTGTACACTAAATACAATCTTGTTTTCAAGAACTTATGGTTTATATTTGAGTGATAAGCGTTGCGAAAAAATATATTAAATGATTATTACAGTTTGTTCGCGTCCGATTGACACGGACAGCTACGGCGTAATGTTGCGTTGGCAGGATTTTCGCGGGCCCAGCAATCAGCACTCGCCACTGGTGGAGTACGCCGCATGCGTTGGTCAATGCAGATGAATAGCAAATTGCGGGCTTATTTTAGGGTGAAAGGTGGAGAAATTAGAGGTTTTGCGTATCGGGCTAAGATGCATCGACTTTTTGCTGAGCTGGAGCTATCTATAACCGTCACCGAGCCAAAACCTGGCAGACCGAGTTCGGTATGTCTTACGTTCAAACATATTCGATAGCACCGAACTCGAACCGCTACGACGTGAGGCTGTACCCTCATCGGATGAAAATGCTACGACTGATGATGCGGCGCCACAAGTTGCAGAGCAACCAGCACACGTGGATGCCGCCGTGAATCTTTCAGTTATGGTTGGTTCAGACGATGATGGAACAGTCGCCCAGGAACTAGAACTAGAGCGAATATACGCCTCTCGAAAGTCAAGCGCAACTTCCCCGCATACCCTTAAGCAAGCGGAATCGGGTTGTCGTGAGGGCTCTCAACCCGATGCTGGTGACTTATTTGGAAGCCAACCGGGACCTTTGCGAGACGGAGTCAATTCTCGTTGGCACCTCACTGGCAGTTTGCCATAATATTGGTGCCAAACTTCCCACAGCTGGACGCACTACTTGGCAAAGTAGCGCTATCCCAGCCTGGAGAAGAAGGATTGAGGACCGCATCATAAAGGCAAGGGCCTCATCGGCAGACTGATAAGCTTCAAGTCGGGCAATAATAGGCCGACAATTGTGCGCACCTTTAGGATGGCGTTTGCTGGGACAAATATCAGTTTGTCCAAGCCGGATATAACGCAGAAGCTGACGGAGCGCATAGACGACCTGAAGCAGAGAATCGCTGCTTGGGGGAAGCGGATTCGGCGATATACCGAGAGGTCAACACGGTTCAACCAGAATCGTCTCTTCCAGAGGGATCAGAAGAGGCTCTATGAATCATTGGAGCGGCCAATGGTACGTGGAAAAGGCCCAGCACCAAATCAGGCCGACACTCTCGCATTCTGGCGCGGCCTGTGGTCAAAGCCCGTAAACCACAGCGAGGGTTCTTGGACGGAAGTTGTGGCGAGTCAGTTTGCGATTGTTACGTCCATGGACCCCGTCATAATAACCGCGGATGACGTAGTAGAGGCAGTCCGTAGGGCATCGAACTGGAAAAGTCCGCGACTCGACGGACTGCATCACTACTGGCTGAAGCATATTCAACTCCATGTTTTAGTGCAATAGCGGATAATAGCGGAGAACATTAATCCTAATTGACAGGGAAACAAATTTATTCTTTTGTACTCTGAACGAAGTCACGAAATTTGCTATGAATAATTAGCTATAAGATAATATGGGATTGTATATCGAGCTTATTCTATCGCATTGGCTAGAATCCTGTAATGATAGATATAAGTTCGATATAAATAAAAAAATTAAAAAAATGTTTATGTCTCATTTATAAAACATGTAACTATTTTGAGACAAATAAACATTTTTCATTTTTTCATTTTTTCGTTTATATAAATTTATATAACCCAACCAGACGAGAATTCAACAAAAAAATCCCAAATAATAATAATTAATATTGATATTTAATGGGATTAAGAAATTAAAGAAAGACATTAAGATGAACTTTATTAAAAAATTATTTATATTTAAATAAAATGATTGACTTGAATAACAACTATCAGATACGTTGCACATAAACTTATAAATTTAAAAATAATTTGTAGGTCAATAGTAAACATGTCGTAAATGGAAACTCGCAGTGGCGAAACTTCAATAACCTCCATAAAAGTCTTTGCTTGAATTCTCATACTTTTTGGCAAATCGTAATTCATTATTATTTTGTTAACAAGAATTTTTGTACAATTTCTAATTTTAAGAATTTTTTCACATTTAAGACACATCATGCTTACTATAAACACTTCTAAAGTGCTCAAAACTATTACTTTTAATAAATATCTGAGATCTTTATCTGCCTTAAAAGAATACAAAGAAGTCCAAAATGTGATGATTATAAACGAAAAGATCGATATAAACGAAGTAAAGATTAAACAGCAAAAATTTTTGATTAATATTTGACAGAGTTCTCCAATTTTATTGTATGTAGCTGACAAATCACAAAGTTTCCTGTTGCTTGGTGAAACTGGCCCTATGTAGTTAACACAACCATCAACATAAACACTGTCAACACATACATGAAAAGTAAGAATTTTGTTGAATTGTTGATATTGTGTAAATTTTGTAAGATAGTTGTTGATAATAAACAATCGTTCTTGAAGCATATCCGTTAATTTGATAAATGTAAAAATTTCCAAATTGCATTGGAAATACATAAATAAAATCACTACGTGGCCAATTCGAATTTCAACCTCATTAAATATATTGAAAATTATTATAACCAGGAAAGATCCACACAGTAATATTAACAACTTATTGGTTTGCGAGCGAGATTTTTTGTAAAATTCTTCGTTCATAGTAATACGAAGCATCTCATCAATTTTATCGAAAGATAGTAATATTCGTTTTGTATCTTCATCCGAAAATGATTGCATTATTATTGTAATAGAATACTGAAAAAATATCAAAATACTTGGCAATAACTCAACGGCTTCAAGAAAATTACCTGTTTTTACTGTGAATCCAATACCAAAAATTAAATAAATCACAGCAATTAATAAATAAATTAAAAATCCGAACAATTTCATTTTCCAATCAACTGGAATATAATATGAACTTCCAATGACGTGAACTCTAATGATACCATAACATTTTTCAAGTAACAGTAACGGTCTTATAGAAGAGATTGAAGCATAATTTAATTTCCAATTGATATTTTCAGAAGGCGTTAGATCCATACTACTTTGAACTACACTTTCTGATACCACTGAGAAAAATATTGTAATATACACTCTGGTCACTTCTGGCAAACAACGCTCTTTGAGTAAATTTTGAAATTACTTTCCATGAAAGTACTTAGATAAATTAATTTTGTGTCTTTCTTGTTTGTTATTACTCAAGGCCCAATAAAATTAAGCGCTTATTTATTAGAAATATTTTATTTTTATTTTCATTTACTCATGTAGCCAAAAGCTTTCATTGTATTCTAATTTGTTTATAATGTTTGAGACTTAGGTGCTTTATAATCGTCTACATTTCGTAACTTAACTCAGTTAGCCTAATTTAGATTTACATTTTATTTTTCTGAGAAATAAGAAGATCAGGCAATTAAGTTTTCCTTTGTTATAAAAATATAATTCCAGCTCGTCAGATATTCAAAAGGGATTGAAAAAGAGGCATATATATGTAACAACATCCAACAGCTTTCTTGATTCAGCTCCCGAAGGACCGCTTGAAAAAGGAGCTTACGACACCAGCTGCTGTTCAGATCACTCCAATAATTCAGACGAGGGCCAACTGAGAGGTCTTCCTTCGGCTGGTCTTGGTCCTGAATTTTCTATGACACCTACGTTGGGTTCGGAAGGTCAACGAGGCGTATGTAAACCCCGTGAAGGAGTATCACAAGAGCGTGTCTGCTGCTACTTTTTATTATAAAAGGTTCAGACGGGGATTACGGGTCTTCCGTGGTAGTCCCGGTCCCAACGCCTTAATTATTCGATATGTGCTACGTTAGCACGTGATGAACTGTAGATTTATATTCGAAGGTGAAGGATCCCTTGGGATTGAAACAGCAATTATCTTCAAATGGCTCCGCCAGAGTGCAATTACTTTCCCTATCACTTCCCTATATGTTTTTTTTCTTGATTATATATTACTGGTAGCTGATCCCGAACGATTTGCATGAAAACCAGTCTAATGGGGTATTAACAAAGCTTTACCCGAAAGAGAGCCGCGCCCTTTGTGCGATTTCGCAACTCAATTATATCAATTTGTATTATTACACTCCCACGGTTTGCCCAATATCTTTATTTGTGTAAGACATACACACACACACACACACACACAGTGCTCACGTGTAAATTAGTTATTAGTTTTTAAAATTGTTTTTTAATTGTTTTTTTTATTCTTTCTCGTTAATTGTAACTTTAATTACAGAAATTGCAATTACAAATCATATTGTCGCACGAAGTGTACTAAAGTTAAAGGTATGTTGATAAATATAATATTAAGGGACGAGAGTCTGGTGATTAGTCATACAGGTATTTCCTAGTACTAACACCAGGCTCTCACAAATTAAAATGGTTATACCTCCAATATTATTAAAAAGCAATGTAAACTTGTGAGAGCAAATAAAGTAAACATTATTATTATTATTATTATTATTTATACATTTTATTTACAAAGATAGTACAATAAAATATCTATTGTTATATGATGTGTGTGTCTTATCAGATAACACAAACGAAATATTTTCATGAATTATACATTGAAAAATAGACATTTTATTTTTCATACAAAATTTACTCAACTTACATAAGACAATATTATGCAATACTACTTCACATTAATTTCACTTAACACAAAGTGATCATTTCGACCGGGGAACAAATCCTGGTCTAACCTTATTTTAATATTTCTTTAAATTGATAATAAGACATTGGAAAGTAATTCAACCGGGGAACTGAACCCGGAATCATGAATTATACCTTAAAAATTCCCTCTATGAATTTATTAAGAAAATATTGCTAAGAAAACGACAAACTAGTCTGACCTGGGAATCGAAACCAAGACCTTTAAATTATTAATTCGATATTTCTTTAAGATTTAACTAAGCGTTTTCTTATAAGACAAATATTGCTTGATAATTTAACTTTAGAAGCTATTCGTAATCGATTAACTAATAAATTGAAATATTTTTATAGGCGCGTCGCCAACAGGTATGTTAAGTGAACCCTAAAAATGCTGCTATTCAAAAGACTAACGATTAGGAAGTTACAATAGAAAAAATGAAAAAAAAAACCGCCATATTGGAAACTAGAGCGTGTCAGATTATAGTGGGGTATACATGCTTTAGTCTAGCTCACACTCTTATCTTCATTGACGATTTTTAGTATTTCGGTTTGTGGAAATCATTTCCTCAAGCTAGAGTGTAAGCAAAATTCAAATGAATTCGTATTTAGCGAATTTTTAAAACAACCCCTTACGTAGGGGCTAGAGGTTGTCCAAATTTGTATGGAGAAAAATTTATTAACGTTTTTTTGTTAATTTGAAAATTGGTGCATATACTTTGAAATTAAAATAATAAAATTCACATTTTTAGTTTATTCAACAATCTACACTTCGGGTCTTAAAAGGAGGGTGCAAAGTTAGGTATAAAAAATATTGTATCAAGATACACATCTCAAAAGGCTGGATGTAGAAGTATGAAATTTGGACAGTAGCTGCTTTTTATGACGTAGGCACCCACTAAGAAAGAAATTCGGGAAATTCAACCATCAAGATGGGGAAAAAGCATGTTACAGACTTTATGAAGCTTTTTATTTTACGAGACGATTGACTCGAGACTTACTGAAAGTACTCTGTCGATAAAATAAATGAATACGTTTATATTTATCACATGAAACAACCCTTTAGATGTTTAGAGGGTATTCAAATTAGTATAGAGAAAAATAGTTATTGGTTTTTGTAAATAAAAAAAGGCAAATACTCTTCAATAGAAGCAGTAAAATATCATTTTTTTATTTTTTGGGTGCTAAGTTTGTATCTGCACTTGCAGAAGCATTAAATTAGGAAAATAGGTTCCGTTCATCACGCAGGCACCCACGACAAAGGATTTTCCAAAATTCAAATCCTTAGAAAGTTAAATAAGCTAAGTAAAAATGTGGTACACATACAATATTTTTATTTTACGGGCAGATTTTATATTTCTATAGAGAAAAAATATTAAATGATTTTTGTAATTTAAAAATTGGTGCAAATTCTTTTGGATTAAATTGATGAAATACGTATTTTTTAATTTCCCCAAAATCATACTTTAAAGTGTTAAGACGAGAGTTCATATTTTGCATACAAAAATGATTTTTCATGTTGCAAGGAAATTAAGATAAATATAAATTTCGAAAGCATATAAAACAAAGTCGCTATCCGCGTCTGCCTCATCATTTCTGTTTCTTCTTCTTCTTCTTCTAAACATAAACTTCTGAAAACGAAAATGATTTGTCGAACAAACCTAAAGAAATTTTTTATTTGTCTCCATATGAATTTAAGCGAAATGAAATCTTTAATGGTTAGTTTTACAAGTGCCAATGACTGACTTTTTTTAAATTTGTCTATGAGATTGTATCCACTTTAAGTATATAGAACAACGAAGAAAAATTAAATATATAAAAATAAGTTAATAAATTTATAATCTATTTATTACAAAAAACATTTCTTTATATGAAAAAAGATATGTTTTCTTCTTCATATTAACTTATTTTTATATATTATTTTTAATATATATATATATTATTAAATAAAATCGATGGCATGAATTATTGACTTGTATTATTATATTGCCAAGAACTCTGTAATAAGATCCTTGCTCCATAATCTAATGTCCGCCATTTTAAGACTACAATCGTTATCACAAAACCGCGCATGTAAATTTTTATATTGTTTAAAGGACTCAACAGCGCACTGTACCAGGATTGGCCTTATTATCATTGCAGCCCTACACCAGTCCTCATTACAAGGCCTTCGTAGGGCTCTGAAAGAGTTCGAGGCAAAAGTCTTCTGTGACCATGGGAAATGGGTTGACGCTAGTAACTCCAATGTTTCTGTTTTAATAGTGATGAAGTTACAATCAGGCTTTTTAAGAAGCCTGGTCTGATTAGGTTTAGCTTTCGATAGCATTTGTGCATTCTCGCACTGCGAAGCAAAGATTCAACTTCTTCGCATAGCTTCTTCCACAATGTTCTCTTACCTTGCCTAATTTCTTTATTATATTCGGTTAGGGGAGCACTATAAATATTCCAGTCTTTAGATTTTTTGGCCTTATTTAAGAGTTTCCTGGTCTTTTCCCTATACTCCTTCAGCTTAATGTTTCACCAATGAACTTTTCGTGTTGAGGTCTTGGTTTTGACGGGACAACTGCCCTCAAAGGGTTCACGGATACCTACAGTTACAGTCTCCGCCGCTAACTCCAGACCTTCAATCGTTTTGATGCTTTTAAGAAACTTTTTCATATTCAACCTTAGCCCGTCTCTATAGACATCCCAGTAGGTCGCTTTTGGATCCCTAAAAGCAACAGTTTCATAAGTCGAAATGATATGCTGATCATGCAATTGGTGGTGATGCCTTACACTTACACCACGTCTACAGAAGCGGTGGTCTGGCAGGTGGTGGCCATCACGGAGAGCTTTTTATGGCCAATGTGCCTAAAATGTGTGACGTACATTCACTGTGGCAGTCGATATTTGTGCTTATGCACTACCAAAGGCTAATCCCTCTTTTACTGGTTCGCCAGTTATTTTACTGTGCACTAAGGTCCAGTCCCCAACTTCTCGTCCCTCTTCGGGAGGAGCACGTTGTTGGTTGGCTGTTTGCCTCCCCCACGTTTCTTTTGAATGTGGGAGAGCGAAGCCCTTGTATCGGATATTTTTAAACAAATATTGTGTGCCTTATGCAAGTGGGAAGTGATTAATTAATAAGAATTAATATACGACAATTTAGTGCTCTTTACCTTTTGAGACATCTGCTTTTGGACGAGGTTCTTTAGCTTAAAATAATTATAAGGCACTACCAACGGCTTTCAATTGCTCTTTAATAATATCCATTCTTCAAAGAGACACCTAAAATAACTAAACAAATACAAAGTAAATTAGAGTATTAACTACGACGATCACGACATAAATTTATTAAAAGGCCTTTAACTACACCTTTAGAAAGATCCTTGGGAATGATCAATATCCATTATTCTGGTCACTTCATTTATATTATCTGGGG